GTTCCTCAGTAACTACTCTAATTTTGTGTACCTTATTGTAAAGTGTTACCGATTTTTTTGTTAAGAAATTGTTCATATTGTACAAACTGAGCAGGAATGTTCGTCATTTCATGCTGCCGTCTTTTTCTGGGGTTTAAAAGCTGCCATCTTTTTTATGTGATGCTTCGCTCTGTGACTTGAATGTGATGGTAACACACACTGAGTTAATGTTAAAATTAAATGTTGAGCATGGTCAGCAGTGTCTACACTGCCTCATTTCCAGGCCACATGTTATGACAGAGAGTGTGACGTGCAGCGTTTGGAGTTGTTTAAAAGCAATAAGTAGGCCTAATGTAATGTAACTAATTACTTTTCCTGTTAAGGAATTACTTTCTCAGTTTTAAATATTTAATATGATAATACCTTATAAATAATTGATTACATTTTTCCAGTAACTTGCCCAACACTGCCTGCAGACACTCACACACCCACTCACACACAGCAGCACAGTATCTCTGAACAGCAGGGCGAACCAGACCACTGGGAGACACACAAAGAAGTCAAAGCACGGGGCAGCTAGCCTCCAGAAACCCTGCCTGCTGGAGAGCACTGAGACAAAAGCAAAAAAACAACCCAAAGCCATTTCCCCGGAACCGCCACTGTTATTATCCCAGCGTCTTCATGGAAATAGAAGTCCATTTCTGCGGGGGAGGAACACGCAGGAGGGATGGAAGGAGCCCCCCCTCCTCCCCAAAGCCTAAAAGGCCCGCCACGGTAAATCAGACGACTGCAGAGACCACACTGCTTCCCGCATCACACATACACACACACACACACACCGACATGCACAGAAATAAACTGCCGGCAAACGCTTCCATGAATGTGAGCACACACAGTTCCTTTCTCACCTCTTACAGTAAAAGAGTGCCGGCTACGTCCCAGAGGGAAAATAATCAGCTTTCCGGCTTTTATCACCCCAACGGAGCTCATCCTTTTTACAGATAGACGAGATGGCTTAGATACACCCGTCATTTCTCACGTTGAGATAAAGGCACGTGCTTAGTTTAGTCTGTGGCATCACGATATGAATTTATCGACTCACTTGGCCAATTATTGTGCATGCGGATTAGAGCGCATTACCTCTCCTGCCTGGCTTTTCACCCTTTGCCATTTCTCCAACCTTCTCCTCGTATCATTATATCAACCCCTCTCACCTAGCAGCCCCCGTCCTCGCCGTCGCTCCTCTCTGCCTGGAAACAACCTCACCCCTTTCGTGTCTCCTTCCCCTCACTTTGTAATCCCGCCGTCTGACCCTACACCTCTCCCTGTCTTCTTCCATCTCTCCCTCCGTTCCGCGCGACCCTTGACGGCCCCCCTCTGTATCTTTTCCCTCTCTACCGCAATCCTCATCTCATTTTCCTAAATCTCTTCCTGTCCCTCCGTGTCTGTGTGCGTCCCCGCTGTGATCTGGGTGACATTTCAACAGTCACGCCTGTCACGTTACACAGAGGGGGGCATTGCCCTCCCTGCACAACCATGCCATTAATATGTGATTGTAACGCTTGTACAAATGGGAGGAGGGGGGAGGAGGAGGAGGAGGGGAGTCTCATTAATGTACAGCCTTTTATTTGAGAATACAGCTTTGTGCGGCTGGTGTGTGTTTCATTGAGTATGCAAGGGCAGGGGAAAAAGACGAAGAGAGAGAAGAAGGAATGAAAGAGCATCTAATTACATGACAGACTTAGCCTCTGGATCTCTGTGATTGAATAGGGCACCCTTTCCTGATATTACTCCACAAAGCTTTCATAATATCCTCCCTGTATCTCTCCTGCCCGTCACATTCTCCTCCACAGCTTGTGAATCCTTTGCAGCAGTGACTGTGTATGTGTGTGTGTGTGTGTGTGTGTGTTGAGCCACTTTGGCCCCACCAGGACTACCAATTCTGGGACATGCTTCTCACTCTGGTCCCCAGCCTTCTCTGGGCTGTCTGCCTGGGTTATATTAGCCCCCGATATATTGACCCAGCGAATGAGATGAGGCTTGGGTTGTGTTTTTTTGCGCGAGTCCTCGGGGGGATAACTAGATGTTACTCGCCTGCTGCTGTTGCTGTGCAGCGGATCTTACTTTTTCGGCCACTGGATAACAAGGTTGACTCTCTGCTGTAGGAACTCTCAGCTTTCTGCTCTGTCTGGCTAAACAGACAGCGCCTCGGCTGTAGCAGACTCTGTGGGCGTTTGGCTGCACTCTGCTGCTTCTCTCCGGAGAGATTCTCCAGCGTGTCGGTGGATGGTCTGGTGGGTGTGCGTTCCAAAAAGGCCTCCACATACATATGCATGTGGCCCCTGAGGAGGTATAGATTGCAATTATTAAAGAATTACAACCCGAGGGAAACAGGTACTTTGAAATGTTAAATATTTTCTTACATAAGTACATTATATATTCCAGAAGCAAACTTTTATTCCTTGACAGATGGATTATTTCCCCAGAAAATGGACTTATGTGCAAATAATTGACAGCTTCCCAGTTTGATCTTGTTTCTACCTGTCCCCTGGTGCGTAGCATCCAAACATCTGGTGCATTCGGAAATTGGGACGCCAAATGCTGAATCTATACTCTGGCACCTAACTGGGTCGATTCAGAGCACTTGCAGGAATTCTCAATTATATATTGAGAGCATTAAAGGGATAGTTTAGATTTTGTGAAGTCGGGTTGTGTGAGGTACTTATCCATAGCCAGTGGATGTCAGTCGGTACGCCAACAGTTTGGAGAAACAAGCAGGAGTCTGAGACAAAAGCTACTGCTGCTGACAGGGGCAGCAACAAAACGTATTTTAATCCTCATTCCACCAAACCCTTTCAGTCCAGCACCTTTGGAACCAGCAGTAAGCCTTCAGACATGGTACCTAGACCCTCGGTGTGTTCAGACAGTCCTCTTAAATGTGGGCGGGGTTGTTGTCACTCACTGCTCCGTCCAGCACTCGCTGTATTTCCTCATCAGCGGTGACACAGATGGAAGTCTGCACCTGGTTTATCGTCCACAGAACGAGGCTGCACGCCCACATTTTCACAACAAAATAGAACAGGCTGCAGTGAGAGTCTCTCTCCATGGGATATTTAAAAATAGCAGCTTTGTGCATTTAGTCCTTCTCAGGCAAGCTCAGGGGTTTAGTGTTGCTGTAGCCCACAGGAAGTGAGGATTAGAATATATGACCTTCACATAATCCGCTCCAAATTAATCTATATTTTTAAAGTCATTACTAAAAGTGTGTGTCATATAAAAACTAAAGTGATGGTCAAAGTTGTCACAGTGAAATTTAAGGTGTGCTGATGGATTCACGTCATCAACTCATGCATTGAGTAACATTACAAGTTAACGTTCCACCTTAAAAGTTGCCGGCAGTCGGCCCAGTGAATGAAGTTATTTTTTTCTCTTTCATTTTATAGTTGTAGTTTACTGATGTATGAACAGAGGTTACATAAAACCAGAGTGAGCGTCCTCTACTGACCAATCAGACTGCAGGGTTTCTAGCTCCACCTTTTAGTACCAGATCTGTGTGC